TTAAATTATTGAAATGAAAGTTCAATTTACATGTAAAAAAAGATAGAAGATTAAATTTGACAAAATGATAGGTGGTTCTTCTGACTACAGGTGTCCATCAATTCATCCCGATAGGCAAAACATTACTTATTCTACCATCACTAAGAAACAACCATTAACAAAATTCCCAACAGAAAACCAGGCCATAATTTTACCGGCAGTAGATGAAATAAGAACAGAAGAGTACACCATTGAAGTAGAAACTATAGTCCACCAAAAAAATGTACTGTTCTCATCCGAAATTTCAAACGTAAGAATATGTATCTACCTTTCAAGCATACAGTCCATCAAATCTTTAGAAAAGTGGTCAGAGAGAACAGGTCTTCGTTATTCTACAAACAAATCAAAAGCAAAATGTTTTTAAAGAAACAAACAAAGAAGTTGGCCAAAATTAACACTATATAATCAAAATTTGCAGTATGTAGAAGAACATCTATTTTTGGGAATGACATTAGATATAAAACTCACTTGGAAAACCCACATTCAACAACTTGAAAAATCTTGCAGACAAAATATGAACATTCTCAAAGTATTAGCCAATCATAATTGGGGAGCTGATACCACACAATTATTAAATATATATATAAAACACAGATTTGTGGCAAGCTAGATTATGGATCAATAGTCTACAGTTCAGCTAAAGATAGTTTATTACAGCAATTGGATATCATAGAAAATACCGCATTAAGGCTTGCACTTGGAGCCTACAGGACCAGTCCAGTAAAAAGTCTGTATGTAGAATCTAATGAACCACCTCTTTTAATTAGAAGACACAGACTAAGCTTACAAAATGCTGCTAAATTGGAGCAAACTATAATAACCCTGCTTGCTCCTACACACTTACTGACAATTTTCATTTAATTTTCGAACACAAAACCTTTCTTTCTGCATCATTTAGTAAAAGAATCACAGGTTTCAATTCTTCGAAAGTTATTTCCATGAAATAAACTACCCTCCTCCTTGGACCATAAAACTCCCCATATTTAATACAAATCTTCTACTGAATCCTAAATCTGATACTTCATCACATATAATTCTACAACGGTTTCAAGCAATTAAAGACAACTACAAAAGGTATTACCAAATATATACAGATGCGTCAAATAATTCTGAAATGGAAACAGTAGGCGTTTCGTTGATGAAATAATCAAACATCAGTTCCAGCTACCTAAGGAGTACTCCCTAGATTCCCGCGAATTGTATGACATATCTAAAGCCCTACAACATATATCAAACCAGCCCAAATTTAAAGCAATCATTTTTACAGATTAAGCGCAGTACAAGAAATACTAAGGGTTTACCCAAACCATCCAATACTATGCCAAATTAAAATTAATCTAAAAGAACTTTACAGTAAGAATTAAAGGGTAGAATTTGTTTGGATTCCATCTCATGTAGGCATAATAGGTAATGAAAAAGCTGATCGGGAAGCTTAAGAAGCCTGCTATACGAATAGACCAGATAAAGAGCTTCTAGAACTTCCTCATTCCAACATTAAAAACACCATCAAAGAATTTTCAATGAGACTATGGCTCGAAAGATGGAAAAAACTTGACGACAACAAACTACGACGCATCAAACCAAATTTGCCACCAAAAGGGATAATGCCACAAAAACGACGAGATCAAGTCATACAACACCGCTTGAGAGGTTAATCTACCAGTACCTAATAAAGAAAGAACAACAAAAACTGTGTTATGTTTGTGAGGGCGTAGGAAATTTCGACACTAAGCAGGTAGCGACTAAAATTTAATGGCAATTTTCGACACCAGCCCCAATTCCCGTTTTTATCTTACAGGTGTATTCGACACCAAATAAATATAGCTGTGACATAAATAAAATACCATAATTAATTAATTTATTTATTTTAATAAAAGTAATGTGCATTTTATTTCTTTATAACTGTAATAATATCTAAATATAATACAACTATATAGTACCTAATTTTTGTACATTTTACCGTTAATATACTTGTATACAATGATTTATTTGCTATTATAGGAATGATAAGATACAGCTTTTGTAAAATCTAACCTACGTATTTGTTGGGATCGTAGTTTATCCATCATTTTCTCCACAAATGCCAATTTAGCCTTAACAGTAGTATCTTTGATTTTTGCTGGTATATGTAAACTATTTATTTTGACATAAGTGTCTACTTGAAAGTCTTTTAACTTTTCAATAAAAATAAAAATAGAAGGATGTGTTGAATAAAACGAAGAATTAAATCTTAAATGAAAGGATTCACAGGCATTTGTGGTCCTTGCAATAGACGGATTCTGATTAGACCATATGTGTGGTGGAAATAGAGCGCTATCGAAAATGTAATTTTCCAGTAAATAATCTGCATATATATCAAGTGTTGCGTTTATAGGTTTATATGACATTAAATCATAAAGAAAGCATTCTTCAACTTCTGCTGGATTTAAATAAGTTAAACCAAACGTATGCCTTAACCATTTTCCAATTTCTGAATTTGTATCCTTATATTCTTGTACCAAACCCAAAGATTGAATTTTTTTAAACCAGTTTTGGTGTAAGTAAAAACGGCATCCACTAATTTTTGCATTGGGCCACATATACAATAAAGCACAGTGAATTGCTTTTTCAAAGTCCTCAAATATTTCAGTTGGCTCTAATGATAATTGAATTGTTTCAAAAATCTTAGACCTTAATAAAGAAAATAAATTTGTGTATGTCATTGACAATTTGTCCTTTAACAAACAGTATGCTAAAGGAACATAATGTCCATTTTCCAAGCCATGTATAGTAAATAATTGTAGAAAATATTCGGTACTGTATGAAAATGTACCATCCATATACAAAGTTTTTAATTTACACAACAAACGAATATTTGTCTCGCATGAAAATACAATTACATTTAATTCAGGATGATTTAAAAACAAAAAACTTTCATTGCGACAGGTTTTAGGAGAATAATTACTAACCGCGTTATGGACTTCTGATATGCTTCTTGGTAACGGACCTGGTAACAGTTTACGACGACAGTTGTAAATGTTCTTTCTTATGCTGGCTATGTCAGGAACCGTCAGCAAATTGGCATCACACTCAGCAACAGCAGTTCTTGTAATTTTGGCAGGCTTTTCCGATATGTCCTCTTGGGCTTTTCTTTTACATGCATTGGTTACCATCTTTACTTCAAGCTTTTTTGGATCGGCTTCATGATTATGTACCAAATCACTTCTTGTGATGGTGAGGTCCTCACAGCCTATTGTAAACACTTTTGCGGAGCACTTAGTGTTTCTTTGGATGCAGCGCCAAAATATCTCGCCGCTTTTTAACACTTTCTGTTTCGAGAACAAATGATGCTCCACCACTAGTAAATCTCGACCACGAGAACTTTTTATCAAACTCATTTTTTAAATATCCATATACGTGCACAAGTCAACGTCAAACAAGAAATAAATTACAACTGAAATAATTAAGTCACAAGTACACAAGTGCCACGCTCCCCGCCGTGACAATAAATATTGGGAAACCCGCTTGTCCTGCTTGGGTGCAAATGTCCATCGCCGCTAATTACCTACCTACCTGCTGTACGCCGCGGTGTCGAAATTTCCTATAATAAAATTTGACCCTTCGATTACCCCAGGTACAAAGACAATTTGGTGTCGAAAGTGCGTCCGCCGGTTTGTGATATTCCTCTGACAATCGAACACATTATTGTTAGTTGCCCACTCTATCACCTGAAACGACTTTAAGGTGATTTACCAAGTGCTCTAAACTATAGTATATGTGATAAAGTGGCTAAGTTTCTAAAACTAACTAAATTGTACAATCTAATAGAAAAAAGACTTAAATTCTCGATTGTAATTAGTTGTTATAAGCAAACATCTGATTTTATGTACCACTCTTCCCCGCCAATAATCTTTCATGGTTGATGCAAGTTACTTAATAAAAAAAATTAGCATTGGGATTGGGGTTTGTAATTATTCCGAAGGGATAAGAAAGCTCTTAACATATGCGTTTTTGGGCCAAATCGATGGGTCCATAGCCTTCTTAAAATTCCCGTGATTATTATTACCTTGAAAGATGCATATAGGGTTGAATGTTTGGATGTTATAGATTCACATAAAAGCTCTGAAAAGTGGTTATTTTGTTAATGTCTTGTTCTTGTTTACAAACAAAATTTTCATCGTTTTTGCTAGTAGTATGGCTACATTTGTTTATGCAGTTGGTGAAATTTTATAGTTATGGTTTGATTTCGGCCGGCCGGCTTTATATTAGATATCGTATCTGTATTTAAATCAGTATGGTTAACTATATTTAATTTATTAATTTTATCTGACAATTTAAAATTTTTATTTTAAGTTCATTAGTAAATCATGTTATTGTTTAAAGGTACAATTTATTATCCAAAATGTCAAAGTTTTCGCATTTAAAGTCGTCAACATCAACATTTTTTTAACATTTGCAAATTTAAAGTGTAGGGTAGATTAGCACTAACAGCACTTTACATATTTAAGAAATTTTCTATTAAATTTTTTTAACACACTTTTGATTAAAATTTAGCCAAAGCTCCGTGTGCACAATCCGTGTGAGCTGTTAGTCGCCATTTTGACCAAAAAGATAAGATGTGAGTTCCAACTTAAAATTTTTAAATAAAATCAAGATTTGTACTCACTACTCAAATACAATGAAGAAGGTTCTAATAAATTTTATTTTTTAGGTAATTAAATTTTTCTACAGTTTATTATCTGGCGTAATCGGCCCTGAATTGTTATTGTTAGGCTGGTCATTATAGGCAACATAGTTACCCGGACAGATTTATGGATTTCTCATCGCAGGTGGTTTAGGATGAGTAATCGATTGTAGTTCTATCTCCCGGACAATTGAAGAAACTCTTGCTTTTACCAGTGCTCTGCAATATGGCGGCATCTTTTTTATAGTTTGCGCCAAACCATAAAAAAGCGCTTCAACTTCGTCTTTTTCTTCGGTTTTTAGGAGATAATCCATAACAACAGATGCAGCAGTACGTTCATTCTTTTTTTCTGTGGCAATTGCGGAGTTTCAAATATACTTCTTTTTGGGGCTTGTTTTTCGTAGGACACCTGAACATTCAAAGATTCTTCTTCAGCCTTTACTATCTTTGAGTCTGTCTCAGCTTCATCTTGTAACTCTTCTTGTTCGGGCATTTTGATTGTCGAAATGGTAGACCTTGAAGGTAGATCTTAAAGGAAAGGAAAAAGGAAGTTCATTTCTTCTTCAAATTTGCATTTTTTATTGCTTGCGGCCTGGCCACTCTCTGTTTTGCGCTTTTTTTGCTATTACCTAAAAGCATCTACACGAGAATTCCATTGACTTTTTACAATCCTTAGGCGAAAAAAAAATCATTAATTTACAATTCAATTTTATTTTAATTTTAATTTAAAATAAGATTGATTTGTAAATTAATGATTTGCAGCATCCAATATCCGAAATTGTAATGAATAAGTTTCACAGAATTTGGTTTTTGATAACGAAAGCATGCAGTGGCGGATCCAGGGAAGGGCAATAAAGGCGATCGACCCCTCCTTTTAAAAGGACTAATTCTTTTTTAATTATATAGGGTGTCCCAAAAGTAGTGGAATGGTCGAATAATACGCGAAATGAACATTGGATCAAAAAACTCAAAAAGACGTTTTCAATCATTTTCAAAAATCTGTTGAATGACACCAAACACGACCCACTCTACCCCCTGGAGGTGGGGTGGGAGGTAACTTTAAAATCTTGAATGAAAACTCCAGTTTTTAATGCAGATTTCGATTCCTTACATAAAATAATGCAACTTTTATTCGAGACATTTTTTCGAATTGTGGATAGATGGTCCTATAATCGTAAAAAACGATTTATCGTAATAACATAGGTAAATTATAGAAACGGTCTATCTCGAGAAATACACGTCCAAATGAAAAACCAAAAAACAAGTATTTAATATTTTTCAAAAAACCTATCGAATGACACCAACCACGACCCCCACTCCACATCCTGGAGGTGGGCTCTAAAATCTTAAATATTAACCCCCGTTTTTATTGCAGTTTTGGATTCCTTGCAACCCCAGTAACCCACGACATCCTATGGACGTCCAATATACGTCCAGTTTTGGTCCGGACGTCCCTGGACGTAAAATGGACGTACTATGGACGTACGAAGTGGGACGTACTTTGGGTGAACTAAATATGGACGTTCTCTGGACGTCCGTACTCGGACGTTCCCTGGACGTCCGAACTCGGACGTTTTCTAGACATCCGACATTTAAAAATTATGGGATCAAATAGCAAATATTTCAATAAAATAAAAAATTATTTACGTTAAAAAAATAATTAAAAGCAAAAAGGTTAAATCATGATTAATTAAAAATTGTATAGTTAAATATATCAAAAACATGTTTTTTTTAAGGTAAAGTGTATAAATATTTTATTTCTAGATAATTCGTTACAATTGTTTTATTATTCTAGTTATCACAATGATATATGTTCTAATTCTAATAAGTAAAAATATGATTTTTATCAAGATGAATCTTGAAATCATTTTTCAAAGATGAACAAGTGGTAGTATATATTCTGGCTGAACAAAAATGATGATCATGTTAATTGTCATTGTCGATGAAACAAATGGCGCAGTTTAATTATATTATTAATGCTTTAATAAACGAAATAAAAGAATTCTATTTAAGCAGTATACAGTGCATTGGTTTTTTGACGCTTGGCTTTGTGGTTATAGTAGTATATTATTAAAGGTTTGGTACCACGTGTTAGGTTATACTTCAGAAATTGGTTTTATTTTATTATATAAAGGTAAGTGTATTTTTTACTTATTATGTTTAAAAGAAACGATTTGTTTCTACTAAGCGTCATCAACAGAGGAAGGTTACGAAAAACGTAGAGAATATTGTTGAAAATATTAATAACCCCGATATTCCATAAAACCTTTCTTCGGAATCCCTAACTGATCATTTTGATGAGTTTCAGTTCAAATAGTTCAGGTTACAATACTTCCGATTTAAACTTTTTATTAACATGTTAAGTACCTAAAATAATCCAAATTACCACGTGGACGACCATTCCGGTGATCCTTTACAAAGCTCTTCTTTCAATGAAACTGAAGAAGGGTCTAAACATGGTTGTAACGAGAATTCTGGAGAATCTTATCGAGATGTTTTTTTTTCTAATAAGTTATTCAACTGGACTTTGTCCTTTAATACTAGGTGAGTTATTCTTCTTATGGTGCCCTATCCAATTATTGGTTGTTGGCGACAATTCTGGTATACTCCTCTCGATCTTTTGTGGCTCTAAAAAGTGCATGGGCATAGAGGTTTGTCCAATCCCTTATGTAGGTGATTTATTAAAAATTCATAAAGAAGTTCCTGACCTTTCTCATTTGAGTTCAAATGCTAGAATCCTTCTTGCTTCGCTTCACCCAGAGAACAAATACTCTGATCCATATGATTCAAATTCTAATGGTATTTTTATCTTCACAAAAAAACAATGTTATAGAAATTTGTGTATATTTTGATGGAAGCCCACTAAAAAAAGAGTTTTAGTACTCAGTCATATCCTATCTTGCGTAATTTGTTTATATATCCTAAAATTGTAGATTTAATAGGCATTTACCATGGTTATGAGAAACCAAAATTTGCAAATGAATGTTTGATTGATTTTGTAACAGAGGCTGTTTTTTTATTAGATAGTTTAAGCTAAAATAATTAAGCATGCATGATCAAGTTTGTGGGGTAGTTAGATTACTGTTACATGTTGATTTATATTTTAGGATAATGAGCTTTCCAAAATTGGTGAGGAGACCATAAATGAATTTGTTAGGAGAAGCCATAAGAAGCTGATCTGGAATAAAATTCAAGGAAAAGATAGTTGGCTAGGGAAAAAGCAATATAAAGCTTTCGAGGACACACATATAGCTCTGATTTTAAAAGGTTTGTAACTTGTAAACATAAATCAATTTAAGGTACATTTAAGAATTTACACTATCACTTAAGTGGCCACATACAGCCGATGAAGCATATTGTTAACTGTGTCTTATATGTAATGTAGATGGCAAATTTTACCAACTCATAAATGTTCAGGTTTGGCTATGAGATTGCTTTAAGAACTACAGCTAGCTTATGAGATATACAGGTTTGTTGTTGGCCATATATTTTTTTTATACAGTTATTTTTAGTTTTTACGTATAAAAGTGTATTTACATGATGTATGAGATATAAAGGTTTATTGTTGGCCATATATTTTATTTATACAGTTATTTTTATTTTTTACGTATAAAAGTGTAATTACTGCTCATTTGGTCATTAGAAATAAATACCAATGGTTGGGTTGGTATTCTTCTAATTCAGGTGAGATTCATTAAAACTACAGCACTTGAAATTCATGTGTTTAATTTTACTTTGAATTATGATTTATTCACAAGAAGCAAAGTATAATTAACTAAATTTGAAATTAGTTTGTTCAATTTATGAATGTAGGTACATTAATTTTGTTTTCAGATGTAGCTTGGAAAAACTCCAAAACCAGTGTTGCCATGGGGAAGGAAGTTGAAACTTGATAATGAAATATCTGAGGAAATATTTAAAGAGAGGGCAGATAAAATTTAACTTGCATGTTGCATTAGCAAATATGATTAATTTTGTAATGATTAAATTGTGTGGTTCATGAACAGAAAGGAACAGTCCAATTTTTGAGACTGTTTTATATATTAAAAATAAATACCTAAAATTTAATCTACTGTTGAAAGAAAACAGTCAAAGTTCCATATTAGGTATTGATTTTTTTCATACTTATGATTTCAACTTTAAAACTCAACAATTGACTTGTCTGCTTTTAATTGCTGACCACACAATTGTAAGGGATATCAGAATGGGAAGGGATAAGGAAAGTTGAATGGTTCTGTTTTTAAGAACCACAATTTCAACAATTTTGTCAATTTCTTTAGCAGTATTCACAATCCTTCTTTCTCTTGTGTAGACAAGTGTAGTCAAAGATCCCATATCAGTCACAGCCATATTTACTCTTTTAACTATTAAAATTTGTGACGCATGCTTACAGTGTCTTAATACCAATAAAGGTCTTGGTCCAGACATAATATCTTAACTTATTTTTAAGGAATTGTGCATTCTTTTTATGTAGGCATCTATGGCTTATTTTTTATAAATCTCTGACTGAGGGTCACTTTTCATCACAATTTATTTATTGATTTTATTCTTAACTCATTGATTTCTAATTATCGTTCCATTATAATTCTTTCTGCTATTCCTAAAATTGTCGAGGCTTTACTGACTGATTTGTTGACAGTAAATTTGAAGAATCAGCTTCATACTGGTCAGGGTGGTTTACTTACTGTCTAGTAGTTCAACTTCTACTAATTTACACTGATTATGTTATAATTGCATTAAAAACCATTTTTATGTTGATTAGATTTATACTGACATCAAGCATCAACAGTTCTTGTAAATTGTGCAGACCATATTCTTATTTTGGTATGATCAATTTCTTGAATCTGGATTCTCTTATCAAAAGTGTTACCTTTTAATCTTTATTTTTCAACTTGTTTATAAAATAACCAATCTATTGTGTCATATTCATATTCATATTGTGTCAATCTTTCATATTCCTTCCCATTCACTGTGTCAAAATTTACATTTCCATGTTTCTTACCGCAGAACTAATTATGTTTCACACATAGAGACGGTCTAAAACTTTTATATCAATAGCTTTAGGTACTATTTGAAGCACTTAAATGCTAAATGAAACTCATTATAAATGTGTACTTATTTATTTTATTTATGTATATTTTATTTTATCTGTAATTTTGTCTATATTTCTATAATGTTGTATTTTTGTATAATTTTGACAGTGAATTTGTTCCATTTGTTATTAATAAATAAATATATGTAATAATAAGTGTTAGTTCCTTTAAACATTTATGTTTTATTACACAAAATTATGTTATATTTCTATAATGTTGCATTTTTGCATAATTTTGACAGTGGATTTGTCCCGTTTGTTAATAATAAATAAATATAAATAAATGTAATAATAAATATAAGTTTCTTTAAACATTTACGTTTTATTTCCCAAAATACATTCTTAATGTGCACAGGATGACACCACTTTTAGTACTGTATACAATGGCGTTGACATCTAATTTACATCCTCAGCGCTAAAATAGATCTCCGAAAAC